ACTAAGAGCGCAGTCATAGTGGCTGCAGCTGCAGCGATGCACTTTAAAGTTACTCGCCGCGTCTGTTCCGACTTCTTTTCTAGCAAACACAGTGGCTGCGTCTTTCGGTTCAGTCGGTTCATTCGGCCACGAGTCAGTCAATGAGGATGGCTAAAGAGTTTCTTCAATTGTTGATGCTTTCATGGCTACATAACAGGATACGATCCTGTCGTAGATATTGGGTACATAGAATAAATAAAAAGAGAGACACATATATGGTGAATACCATCACCTGATGGCAGAAATCCTTTCAGAGGAAGAAAAATGCCTGAAATATATCCGGATGAGAGCCTCCACATATCAGCTCTTGTTGGACAAAATTGGACCCTCTATAGAGAAGCGAACTACCAATTTCCAGAAACCCATGTCAGCAAAAGAGCGTTTGGATTTGGAAAAAGATTGCTTGCTGACAAGCTGGATTTACCACAGGATACAGACATTGACACAACCCTCCCATTTGCATTCGTAGCAGATGATGCATTTCCATTGAGAGGAAATTTGATGCAGCCATTTCCAAACAGACAATTTAATTAACTCATGAGAAAGAGCTTTTCAATTATCGCCTATCACGTGCGAGGAATTCAGTTGAATGCTCTTTTGGTAGGATTTCCCAAATGTGGAGTATACTCCTGCGCCAAATGGATGAACAGCCAGAGTCGGCAACAGATGCAGTCAAGGCCATCACAGTGCTCCACAATTGCATTATCATGCAAGAACCTGGAAGATCGGTGCTACGCACATTGAGGATAACATGGTTGAGCCACGAGCAGGCCTACCAACGTTCGACAGACTAGAAGTTATAAGGAGCAGAGCTAGATCTACCAAAAGTGGAATGGAAGTGAGAAATGCTTTCGTGGGATATTTCTCATCACTGCAGGGTACATTGCCATGGCAAAACAGCAAATGCTATACGTCTGATCAGTCCACACTCTCATTTAAAAAGAGTTATCCTTGATTCTCTTTTAATAAGCTATAGTAGGCCTATAGTTTGAAACAAGTATACATGTTGTACAGTGTACGTACGTTCAGACAAACAGACAGACAGACAGACAGACAGACAGACAGACAGACAGACAGACAGACAGACAGAAAGTTCTTACCATTGCATCCAACTTCGTTGGCTACTTTCTTCCATTCGGCCGATATCATGGCCCTGTTGCAGTAGTTTTAATCTGCTTTGTCATAAAGACATTTCCTTTTTTCAACTGCGTGTATTAATGCCACAGACTCCATTGTAGTCAAAATGCAACAATTCACTATGACTACACACCACATGCACTACACAATCACGCCACAACAGTTCAGCCGCGCAGCAGATGCTCGAAATTTTTATTTCAGCAGCAAGTGCACACGCTGAACTTTTTCTGCTCCGTCCAGCGCTGCGTCTGCTCCGCGCCCACTGTAGCGCCATGCATTCAATTCTTCGTTAATAAAATTTGGCGATGCAACTTTTTCGGAGAAAGACGTCGCAACCGAAAAAGAAGCGCCGGAGAAGCGAGCACTGTGTTTGAGGTTTTACTAATTGACTTACCTAATCTCAAGGACCTCGGAAGAAAACCTTCTTTTTTATCTTAGATTTCAGTGCATGAGTCGGGCAACGCGCAGCGCAGGTAGACCATAGTTCCGCTGCGAGAGAGGGCTTTTATCAGGCGCGCGGTGCCGCCCACAGATCATCCTCCATTATTCTGGCCCCGCGGAAAATTGCGTTTTTGAAATAGAAAATTTTCAAAAAATTGCAAGGTAAACAGCCTAAAAATTGCAACATTCCCATCCCAGGCGCATTAATACGGGCTTAACATTTTTAGTTTAAAAAACATGACAGTTTTGAGTACCGGTAGCATAAAAGCAGCTCAGCCTTTTTTAAAATCATGACAAACAATACAAATTCGTCAAATGTTATTAACAACATGTACTAGTAACAACACACGAGTACGTTAACAATAAAGTTATCGACCAAATATAATATGATAACGCGTGAAACAAAATAACGGAACCCTCGGTTTTCGTAATAACTTTTAAATGAAGGCATAAAATTTGACCAAATTTAGTACATACCGGGTAGCTTACTTGGTTCATGCAAAAATCTAGAAGTGTATGAGGTTTAGTCTATAAAAAACAAAAAAATTGACAAGAGATTTTCGAAACAACCCCTAAATACAAAATAAGCTTATGCTCCAATCAAATCCGACTCTGTTCTATTTTTCTCTCGAAACCTTCGATACACCGGTATTCTGTATTTAGATCTATTTCAGACTTTTCTGCTTTAAAACCGGCATGGTGCATGTATTGTTTTAACACTAAGTCAAATCGTAAAATACAGCAATTTTTTGTTCCC